AATTGTAATCTATGTATAATGTAGTAACCAGAAAACGCAAAGTTTGAAAATGTACTTAATACTGCACGAACAAAATAGGACTTCAAATTTTAATAAATTTCAAAGCTCTGCAGGCAAATCTGATACGACGTACACGTTCAAATGAAAAATTTCCAATGAGATATATTGCGCACTTAAGACCTCTTATTTCGTTCCGTGTTGTATGGGGGTTTCTCTAATTTCGAATTTTGTTTTTAAAAACTTTGAGCGTTTTGCGGGGATCTCTCTAATTCTCAAACCGTGTTAGAGTGAAACCGTGGTCTAGGATGCTAGAATGCTATATGAGAGTTTTTTCCAATTCTCAAACCGTGTTATAAAAGTGCATTTCTAATTTAGTAGAAAACGGCAAAAACTTGATGCTTATTCTGCGCCTACGTTTGCATTAAAGGTTAAAGATTGACAATAAATAAGTAATATTTCATTTATATGAAGAATAAGTAAGTAACGTTTAAATTTGTCGAATTCGGTTGAAAATTTGTTATCACGAGTCTGACTCATTATAGGATTAAAAAGATTAACAAAACAATATCATGCATTATATCACCGAGTTTTATTAGTCATCGAATGATGCTACTGATACCCGTGTATCGTTGAACAGATCGTTTCAATGGATTGCTCGAAACAGCCGACGATCGGCAATAAAATTGACCTTGGCTTCGATTCTATCTACGGATCCCGATCTAAGGCAATATAACATTTCCATTTGTGCGGTGTTATTATTAAAATCCACCCGTGAGAGACATTGTCGATGGAATGTTCCCTAGCAGCGACGCGGTTTTACAATAATGGATGTCTATCAGCGGCGATATCGATTGATAACGATTGATTAGGAATGGTCAGTAGAGATAAATAGTTCGGTTATACGTTGTGAGAGAGTTGCGTGCGAAACCATTCACTGGTGCCGCCTATTATCGAGCACGACCGCCGCAAGGGTTAGTAAACTGAGCTAGAAAGTAATGCAATAGAACCGCCAATAACGCGATTAAAAACTTATTGAAGGATAATGGTAATAATAATAACAACATAAAAGTGAGACTCTTCATAAGGAAGGAATATAAGCAGAGAAAGAAATTGGACCAGCTTCAAAAAAGGGAACTTTAGAATTTAAACAAGTAAGATTTGCAAACGTGAAATCGCTATAACACGAAATAATAATTTTTTAATCGCGTTATATGGTACGGAGTTTTACTGTATTTATTCGAATCAGGATTTTGTGGGTACGAGTTACGAAGAAAGGGAACGATAATAATAGTCGTACATACTTGGATAATAGTTGTGCAAAATGGCGAAGAGAATGTGGTTCTATTTTCTGGGGAAACAGTAAAAATGAAAGGATGCAAAGGATTTGTAGAGGGTGTAACATAATTCGTAGTATATTTTCAAAGGAATTCTCTTGAAAAAAAGTAAATTGAAAAAATACATTTAATATCAATTGTACTGAATATGCATTAACATATTTAGAACTGATTCAATGTTATGGCTTTACGTGCTTTTTTTCGAGTTTATGCACTTTCATTTGAACTTCAGTGCGATAATATTGTAGAAAATTGAACGATACGTGAGTACTATACGATGAATATGTAAAATCGAATGTCGGTTTTAATTGGTCCGAATATGAAGCAATTTTATTTTGTATTTGTAAATTCTATGTGTTTTTTGTATCTTTTTTGGTTGGACGCACCACGATTGGTGCTACGTTAAATTAATATTTAGACAGAAGTGTAAAATTAAATTTTAGAAACATATAGTTGCGGGAGGTTAAAAAGAATCTTTTTACTTTGCACGGTATTTGATTTTGAAAATTTTTGGTCGTATTCTTTAAAAAAAGTTAATTAATAAACTATATGCTACAATATAAAAGTTATAAATTCGAACTGAAAATTTCTGTGCATAATATTTTGCGAACGATCAAATAAAAAAAGCATACCTTAAAACTACATTAAAATCTTAATGAACCTTTAAGTTATCAAATCGTGAAGTCATTTACGAGCTAAAAGAGTATAAAAACTCCATATAAATTACTACCACGGATGATAAAGTTTCACTGAATTCTACTTTCTCGAAATTTATCCATAAGAATAGGAATTTGCATAACTATCCGCAGCCTATAAACATCGAGGACGTTAAACATCTGCGATCAACGGTTTTCTAAACTCGAATATACTTACGTAGTTAACGAGATCGATACAGCTTATCTAAATAGTGAGCTTAATTGACCACTGCCTCGCGAATAGATGCCCAATTAACGTTGTAAATCAACTGTAAAATTTCTTACGGATCACCTTGTTGATCGTGGAACAAGTTAATAGTATGACGGTCGCGTTCAGCCAGCTTTCTGGAATTCGCTTCCCGTTAGAGGAACGATCGACACGAGGCAGTCTTGGATTCGATTCGTTTCGTGGCTCATCTTTCAGTTTTCTTTTCGTTTCTCATGGCACGCGTCCCAAAGGAAACAGGACCGTCAACGTTTCACGTGTTAGAAGTAGTGTTTTAAAAAGATTGAATCCTCCAAACTTCAAGGCTCAATCTTAAAGACTAAGTTTTGAAAGCTTAATGTTCTTTAAAGTTCGAGCCTAAAGCTTCTAGTCTCAACCATAAAGGCTGAGTTTTGAAGGCTGAGACCTCTAAAGTTCGAGTCTTCAAAAGTTTAATCCTTAATTCTAAAGGCTAAGCTTTAAAAATTTAGGATTCTATAAAACTCGAGTCTTCGAAATTTCTAAGCCTAAACTTAAAAGTTTGGAATTTTATAAAGTTTGAGTTATCGAAACTACAAGGTTCATTCTTAAACGTTTAAAGTTTAATAGAGTTCGAGTCTTTGAAGCTTCAAAGTTTAATCTTAAAAGTTGAATCTCAAGGATTTAGAGTTCAATAAAGCTCCAGTTTTTGAAGCTTCAAGGCTCAACCTTAAAGACTAAATCTTGAAGACTTAGTCTTCACTAAAACTCGAATTTTACAAGCCTTTAGGTCCAACCTTAAAATCTGAGTTTGAAAGGCTTAATGTTCTATAAAGCATGAGTTTTCGAAATTTCAAAGCTTGAGAAGTCTTTAACACTCGAGTCTTTATGTTCAAAGACCCGAACTATCATCCAACATGAAGATTCAAGTGTTAAATACTTCAACTTTTACATTTCAAAGCTTGAGTCCTAAGAGCTCGAGCTTAAGGGTTGAGTCGCAGCTGCCGCTTTCAAAGTTCCGGGTTCAGGATTGATTTTTATTATACAACAGTAACTAGGAGAGTTCGTAGACCGTGATTGCGTTTGGAAAACCAGTGTTTAGGCTGGTCGCACGGTTCACGATGTTAGAATCGAGGTTCAGGGGTCGGGTTGCACCATCATTAATTCAACATTCTGAAACAGCGGCTTCTCTAATTACGCGAGGCTGCGAGGCGATTGTGAGCGCACGACGCGCAGCAGGATTGTGAAACAGCTCTCGGATGGAAAAACCGGGGAAACTTGGCTCATTCATACGTCAAGCTGTTTTTTTCTTTCTTAACGTTGCGACCTTCGTTCGAACCTTCCCGAAGATGAATTAATAAATTCTATTTTTAGATACAGACTTGAGAGAACCTCCTTCGATGTGTACACTCATGTTAAGGTGGTATTTAAGATGATTCACTGAAGAATGTGTTTTTTCTCAATTTGTTTATTTATTTTTCTTGTTAAGCGACAGATATAATAAACACAGACTGCATCGCGAAATTTAATTTTCGTGAGTGTGCTTCGTAAACAGTTTCATTTATCTTTGGTTCTATCGTTTTACGACAGCTCGGAATTATATTTATGGGATTGGAAAGTTTTTAGAGACTCTTTTGAATGTTAAGAAGTTCATTTATCAATCAAATTACATTGAAATAATATCTAAAAAAATTAATATTCAATTTAAATTCAAAAGAATCGAGTAATATTTGTGCATGTTGAATTCTGTTTAAAATCTTCATCGCGTATCTGACACGTTATTATAAGACAAGGGGTTAAAAGCAACTTAAAAGAATAAATGTTCACTGATAAAGTGTGTAATGTACTTTGGTAAAGAAACATTAACCTTTTCCTAATCTTTATACGTGTTTATTTTAGTAAATGGAAATCTCGTTTCTTTATCCGCATTCGTTGATCTCAGTACTGATACCATTTTTGCTATCATTTTTTAACATGATGCCGTAACTGTTCTCTTAACGATAGGTACATTTTGAAACGTTCAACTCACTCTCGTTTCTGATTTCAACTAATGGTTTTGTAGAGTTGGAAATGTTAGATACTGGACAAAGTTCGTGTGGTTTTCTTGTTAGCAATGAATTAAGGTCCGATTTCAATCAGTATTTCGCTAGTTTAATGAATGACATTGATATTAGCAATAAGTTATGTTTATAGTCTTACATATTAAGGAAAAAGAAAACTGCATATCAACCTTTCATTACTTGAATAATTAAATTAATCATTTGCAGCTTTCGAATTTAGATATCAAAATTCGAAGTCTCCATCATGACGGCATTTAACCGCAAAGAGTTAATGTGCCTTTTAGTCGCAATCTCATAAAGTTTGTAAGCTTGTGATTTTTTATTACTCCGCATTCACAACCGTCTTGAGCTACAAATTGGACCAGCGTGCCCTAAAACGTTCGCCTCTCCTGTAACAAAACGATCTGCGTTCAACGTGATTCCATTTTGCTTGCACGCGCAGACGGATCACGCACCATAATTTGCCACGTTCAATTAATACTTAGTCAGGAGTGTAAAATTAAATTTTAGAAACTTATAATTGTGGGACGATCAAACAAATTTTTCACTTTACAAGGTTCTGGATTTTGAAAATTGTTGTCTATATTCCTTTAAAAAATTTAATTAAGAGATCGTGTGATACCATCGTCTTGGTCCACAAGTCGGACCAGCTTGCCCTAAAAGCTCGCGTCTTCTGTAACAAAACGGCCCGCCGTTTAACGTGATTTCATTTTGGTTGCACACACAGGCGGATCACAGGTTGGAGCAGCTGAAGAAGGCGACGGACAGAATACAGAAGGAGATCGAAGAGGTCACGGAGAGGGAGCACGAGCTACGGAACGTGGGCAGCATTAAGACCACGTCCCACGAGACGGTGGATTCCAAGGTACACGTTTAAAATCACCGACATACGTGCGGGTAAACACGTATATAGCTACGTTCCGTGTAGAACGGGGCTCGGCCGTACTCAAGGTCGTTGAACGAAAGAAAGAAAGAGTAAACCGGCCGACGTAGACCTTATAGGGGCGAAATGCATCGGACACCGTGTGTGTATATACATGTCCATGAACGACGAGGACGATTATACCGCGGTCACTGATTTAATGACTCGTCACACGGCCATACGAGCGCGCGCGCGAATAATCTTAATCTTGTTAGTCACGTGACGGGAATTACTAGTCGAAAAATTAGATCTCACTCGATACGTGTTTCTTTGACACTAGAACTACCGAGCGTTTAACATGATTAACATGTGATCTTTATAAAAATTGTAACAATAGAAGTTTTTCGAGTTGAATGCCGCACGATTTCATAAAGTAAAGTACACAAAACGGAAAAAATGTAATATTAAATCATTTGATTGAATTGCGTTATTGTTATTGTATATTCATCGAGCTGAATGTCACCGTATTAGATTGCATTATTTGTAATATAGAAATGTTTCTAAATAATCATCGTTTAATTGAGTGAACTATATTAATTCGATTTGGTTGGGGATCACCGGTGACCCCTCATGGCATTCAACGTGTTAATAATTTTATGGTATTTATAATTACGGAATAAGAAAATTGAAATCTATGATTTTCACGAGTATGGTAGTTCTAGAGTAGTTATTGAACAGTTAATTCGAGATTTATAATCGTAATACTGCGTAAAGATATCTTAATATTAATTACTAGTTGAAAAATGAGATTTGACTCGATATTCGTTTCTTTAATGCGTTCATTGAAGATTCATAATCGTAAGATACTTACGTGTTATACGGACTACCTTTGTTTTAAGAAATAAAATATTAATAATAATAGTAATAATAATTTGTAATACTTTGGTGTAAATTACTAATACGAATATTTCAATATCTATAAAAAAGAAATAATTATATGTTATTATTATCAACGTTTGTTACGAGTAGAAGCAGAGAGTAATAGTCTGATGTATATATTGATCGGTCATACTTGACAGTATTCGTCATAGATTTGTTTTTAAATTCAGTTTTTTTAAAAACGAAATAATTGCATTCTAGTTTATTTCTAATTTTATATTTTAATCAGATAAAATATATTTCTAATTTATTTTATCTCACTGGGCTAAATTCACGTGGAAGGAAATTGATCCCGCCTAAAAACAAATAAAAGGATGGTTAAAAACGAATGGATCGCGAAGGGTTAAACTATGCCAGCAGTTCATCAGAACAAAAATAATAGATTACTTCACGATACACTTAATAACTTCGACAATTATGTCGAATCGCAATAATCTCTCCAGTTGAACGAATAACTTTCAAATCGGATTTCGTATGCATGATATTTCCTTCATGGGGATAGGTTTATTAGCGTAAAAGCCTACTTCGCGTTTCGTGTTCGACGTATTTAAACAGAACGGAACTAACTAGTGCCACAGGACAAGCTTAAAGTTGCGTATCCACTAAAGGAATAAAGAGAAATTTTTTAATGGACGTTGCCTGTTTCCGCAAAGGTACGTGCCTGAACGTTCACGCATTGTCCACTAAAACGGAAACAAAACACTAGCATAAGTGCTTCTATGAAAAAAGACAGTGAAATGAAATAAAATTATAAAGACAATAGCAAGAAACATTGTTCCGTTTGGAAACCCTTTGTTACTTGAATGATTTTAAGTCCTTGTCCTATGATTTATTTCTTAACTATGTTCGATATAAC